AGGGCGATATCGGCGTAGTATGTGTTGGTTTAGAGAATGGAAGTGTTGGTGAGGTACATATTGGGGTGATGTAGTGTGCATCAATGGAGTGGTAAGCATATGCAAGATATGTGTGATATAGGCAGTGGAGCGGAACTGCAGGTGTGGTATAGATCGTATTGATATGATCTGTTAGCAACAGAGACGTCAGGCTATAGCGTTGATCTACATGTATGCCGGTGGTTTAGCAGTAATGTAAGAGGCGGTGCAAGAATAGTATTCCGACCAGAGCTGATAAGTTGTGTTGGGGATGATCGAATTATGACTTCTAGAGTTAGTAGATGTGAAATACTACGGCGGTGCGGGGACACGTAGAACCACATTAAACCCATCTCGGGAATCGAACCGGGTCTTTGGCGTGATTAGCGAACCTTTTTAACCACTTGGCTACTATTTGACATACATGGATATATCACTTGTGGAGGAGATTTCGGATTGTAGGCGGAACAAAGTTAGACTGTATTCTGATTTCAAGTTCCAGTTTATATGAAAACGTGTTCAGATCCTTGTGGTCGGAATTGGTCCCCAAGATATTTCATGCCTGTCTTTAAAGACGACTTAAATGTGGGTCGATCGGTCAGGTTCTGTGATGTCTGGTCCAGACTCGATTATTTACAGTCCGATGTGATATAGCCAGATATCTTCTCTCTTCCGCGTTCATCAACTCACATATATCAGGGGAATGATAGAAGCACACATCTTTGCAGCTTACTTTGACCTTGTGGATGTTGGTTATGTACAATTTCACGAGAAATCGAATCAATAACATAAATATATGTGTAATCAAAATGTTTTGTTGTACAATGTAAAACGAATATGTTTTTTTTAATAAAGTGTTTTTCTCATCATGATTAAACTACATTAGATAAGTAATGCTATTAGATTTTTCGTTAGGTTTAAGGTTCAAGGTTGAACGGTTCCCAAAAGATTTATCTGAGTTCAAGGTTGAACGATTCGCAGAAAATATATGCCAGTTCAAGGTTGAATCTCAATCGATATATCCGCGTTCAAGGCTGAATGAACCTACTTATAACGCAACGCAAGGAAAATTCCATCCATGGCGTTATGTTTTGCACGTAAGGTCTTCCCCAAGCCCAATGTCTGGAGAACGTCTCTGTGTACATGCGTATGTATCTTTGCGTCTCTGCGCGATATTGACAGCTATTAATTGTCATTGAATCTACAACTATTTATATTAATGTAGTTTCTTCGTATATCCATTCTTACTGTTACGCAATTGTTTATATATGTCAAACATGCATTTACTCGACTAGGCATACTCAATATGAGGTTCCAAATGGCAAGTTGAAGGAGTTTGTCCCACTCCTTTTGCTGGGCCTGGCTAAGTTCAGCGAACGTAATCGGCGGCCTGTGACGTTGACGTACACGTCTCCCTATCATGTCCAAGACGCGTTTAATGGAGGAAAGTTGTTACTCATGGTATTTTATAGATATTGTGCTGGTGGTGGTGAACACTGACGATTCGTGCACGGTGAACACGGACGTTGACGTCTTGAAAGAAAAAAAACATCGACCCACACCCCTTGCAAAGGGTGTCATAAAGAGTGTCAGTTTGTTGTCCCGATAACGCTATCCAGGGATCCATCTGGAGTGGAGATCGGTCATAGTGATGCCACTCCACACCATAACTGACACACCGCTAAATCTGTCAAGAGGTCTCAGGTTGACATTGGCTTAACGTTCATTTCGACGTCGCCAGAAAAACCACACCCATCAAGGAAGTGCAAAGTGATTCGGGACTCCCCTGAAAACAAGACACGTGACCAGCGACCCCAGTTTCGGCGTCGTGTACACCATTGACGTCTGTTGGCCAGATGACGATTTGTAAGGGCGGCACAACACGTCGTCGTCAAACATGGAGATGAATTGCAGGTAAACGATTTCTAATCGACTGACTCGTAACGCCAGTAGCTGATGAAAGTTACAATCTTATTCCTGTACTCTTGTCGCTGGGACGCCCTTAACGGAGTCGATCATTTTGGGGTTTGTTGGTACCTGTTCCATAGTCTGCTAATCACAGAGTATAAAACATTGAACGCAATGGCCACTGCGCGCTGACTTCTGCCAGTTTCTAGGATGCCACGAGCCCGGAGACGCTACAGAAATAAACGTTCTTGCATGATGGTTGTTGTCAACACTTATCATTGGCGAAAATAATTAATGTTGTGCCCATAATAGAAGGTAAGTGACGTGATGCTTTGCAAAACTCTTTACACCAGATATAGTGCATTGATCGCATCAAGGATCTTCGCTGGTCTGATAGGAATAGTTCAAAATCTGGATGAATTTATCTAATTTTCAATTATTGTTAAACAGAATCGGGTTGGGTTAATGTTCCTCTGCTGGCCACACTTATCAACTACGGAGCCAATATATTCGCATTTACATATTTTCCCTAATTTGTAACGTGCAGCGACATTCCTTTGAGGCCGTCATACGGTACAATTTGCTCTGTTAAGTTCTGTTAAAATTGTATTTTATTCATATTTGGTTTGATATTCTGGTCTATAACGGCGTATCTTTGAGGATTTGAATGTAGGTCTGTGTTCCTGGCAGCATCGCTTCATATAGGGGATAATTTGACTTAAAAGATGCGGTTGAAGATTCTACCAACTGACATCCTCAAAATGGCAACGTTGATGGAAAAGGTGCAAGTGTGAGTTTGAGAATATAGTCATCCTGTTCATAAAAATATATTCCATAATAACCACGGTGACGCCAAATGAGGGTTTGTACTATAGGGGGAGTCGAACCCGGAATTATGTAGAGTGAGTGCGTATGATTTTACGCCGATATTAGCAATATTCGAGCAATATCAAGATTGAGAAATGGCTTCATGTATTTTACCACTGTTGGGAATCGAACCCGGACTTTCGGTGTGACGAGTGAACGCTTTAACCACAAGGCCCACCATCTGATAAACAGTGAGTGAATGAAAATGTTTTTACGCCGCTTTTAGAAATATTCCAGCACTATCACTGCGGAGGACACCAGAAATGGGCTTCACACATTGTACCCACGAGGATCTGAGTAAAAAGGGAAGGAAGACAATGTCAGCAGTTTTACTTTCTTTATTACAACATATATAGCCATATCACGAACAATTAACAATATAGTACAGTTAAATAGAACATGTATCTACGATCAAGCCCATGATGCCTGGGATACGGGCAGTGTAACGATGGGGCTCCATATACAACTGTACATATATGTAGATCACTTGTGAGCACGACGCCCCCTCGCGGCAGTTTTCATGGCAGCCCATAGCACAAGTGCCATCAAGAAATCCTATTCAGCTCTCGACTTAATTGACACTGAAATTCATACCTCTCCACCACGTGATTAAATTACAAAAATGGAAATGTATTCTATAATAAGATCTTCTATGACAAAGTTAAAGGACCTTATTCCGGCAATTCGTGTTGGTGTGAACAATTACGGCTACTGTCTCGTACGACGACGTTAACAAATATTCACAAGCCCTTGCGAGACCCGAACGTCAAATAATTTGTGAAAACATTAGCATGGTTCCTGTGTACTGTCTCCGAAACGCGAATAGAAACTTCCCAACACGTTGGAAGTTAGGTTTCAATTACTTAAGGGGACAAAGCCCTGTCCAGTTGGCGGTCCTCGACAATTTAATTCTTCTAACAACATTATGTCTGCGAACTTACATGTATAAATCTAGCAGTTAATGGTTAAACTCCTAGTAGAGACTATGACACTGGTTCGAATTTAGCGCCTACTTAAATAGCTTCACAAAGACTTCAAAGGGGTGTCAGGCTATGTAGCATAGTCCCCCTTTAAGATTTCATCAGGCTTACGACGCTAGTAAGCAGCGTCATAGAAAATGGTGACATGTCCAATGAAATAGCAGGTTTAAACTTCAGCCATCCTGTTCCATTTGGGATAAAAACATATATCTCATTTATTTCACCACTGATGGCTTCACACCCATGTACAGATACATAGTGCAAGGTACAGATAATAGAAATGGAAAATGTATTTAGACCAAGGGGACTGATTAATTTTAGTTATTTATAGACCACGATCTTCTACATACTGAACATTCTAAAATAGGTGATACTGTTTACCTTGATGAAATATGACGTTCTTACTGGTCACATCAAGGGTCAAACCTGAGCCGTCATTGAACAGACTGTAACACATTTGAATAGATGGTGTATCCCCGCGAAGTAGTGACACGATCGCAACAGTAACTCTGTCCATACAGTAAGGACTGTCTGGCACCGGACACGTTGGTTAAGGATTTACATATCTATGGTCATCGTGAACAGTTCATATACACCCTATACATAACCCGCGGGATTACCTTGATAATTAAGACTATTCAATTTATTATAAAAGAGGTGTGTTTGAAAAAAAGTAACTTTTCACTGTCCTTAGACGGCAAAGGAATCGAGAAGATGGCGACCGTCCATCACACTGCTTTGCATAAACAAGTACTAGTATACTGATCGGTCATATACGATAGGTAAGACCAATCTTGAGATTAGAATAAAATGTGTCCTACTAACGATAAAATTGAACAAGCACAGCATACCCTAGCTTTCTGAAGGTTCACTTTAAGGCAAGATTGGCTGAATTTAAGTTTCATCAGTTTCATGGGTATTCCTTAATCTAATCCTAGAACATAAGACGTATTATTTATGAAGACAAGTATTGAAAGATAATATGGGAACTTACGAAGGGTATTTTGTAAAGACAAGTTGAGTAAGATTGTAAATTTGGAATATAAGAAGGATGAGTGTTAAGATCAGTTCAGAGTGAGAGAGTGAGTTTGGTTTAACGCCGCTTTTAACATTATTCCAGTTATATCACGGCGTGTCAGCTTAATGTGGGAGGAAAGCCCGAAGTGATGCAGGTCTCAGACGTTTACCACTTCGGCGAAACCCACGAGCACGGGTATGGTGCTGACAAACCTAGAAACATAATCGGGGCGAACCGGGATTCGAACCCACAATAGGTTTCTGGCGTGTCCAAGGGACGCAACTCTGCACAGCGAATCGCGGCGCCTTAGACGAATGGGCCACCCGTTCCCCCAGATCAGTTCAGAGGGATTCTTATTCTGTTCAAAAGTGTAATGATAAATGGGCGGGTGTGTTTGTGACCTCAACAGCCTGTCCGAGGCTTTTTCCCTTCAGGAAGAAAAACAATTGATATAAGATGTTTATGTTGCTGTATCAAATAAAGATAGTCATCGAATCATTCTTAAAGACTGGAAGACCTTAAGTAACACGTGACCTAAATACGTCACAATGAAATGCTCGTTCTTCACACGTCAGTGGCACAGCATCTTCAGTAAACGTATGTCGCAAAACCAACAATTATTGAAGTAAACATTGTATACTGCCTGTGTGTTTTACACAAATGCTACACGTAAACCATATCCTGGAACGCCGTTCGATGACTACCTTTAATGGATGGGGATGAAGAGGTCTCAACCTGTAAGCACGAACATCCTGAAAATGCAATACAAACAGGGCAAATACATATAGATTATATCCTACATGTCCTATATTGCCCACTTAAACACAGCTTGATGAGTAACGATAAGCATTTAAGTCAAAACATCGAACATTAATATCCAACTTCTATATTTATTTGTGTCTTTGAAATCACTGAAGGTTCTGATTTACAAAAAATGTTATATACTTGTAACATTGTCAGAGATGACTTTTATCATTAAGATACTTGAATCAAACACTTCGAGTCGGGTTCTAATGTCTGCATATGATATGCCTGTGTACTGTATTTCAAGCAGCATGAGAATGAGAAGATGAACTTTACCAGAGCACTTAATGCATTGATATGTAGCTGAATATAACATGTCTGGTGTATATTTATAAATAACACCACCTGGAGTTACTTTGTATTGCATGTGAGTGTGCGGGGGTGACACACGACCGTGGTAATTACCGCTGTCACTTAGCATTAGGGACCAACTTTGACGCTCTTTGAAGATTAGCTTTCGCAACAGGAAGTATACCATTTCCAAGAACGCAGATTGAGAATAGACATTCAATGAGTTACTTCAAAATTACCACATAAGCAAGCACGCATTCTTCATGCTACGGAAGGGTTCGAGCAGAACAGTCCCGGGGGTGCACGTCAGCTATGTATTCCGTGTTTTATGCATATATATCAGTACCAATCGTGACTAGCGAGTGTGAGTGAGTGAGTTGGGTTAAACGCTGCCTTGAACAGTATTGCTGTTATAGCACGGCGTGTCAGCTTGATGTGAGAGGAAAGCCCAAAGAGATGCAGGTCGCAGACGTTTACAAACGCTCACAAACCTAGAAATTTAAACGGGGCGAACCGGGATTCGAACCCACGAGCATATAGGCTCCTGGCGTACCCAGGGGACGCAACGCTGCACAGAGTGGGTCACCCGTGCCCCCTTGTGACTAGATTGTGCACGAAGCATAAACAATGGTATTAACTATTTCGGATATTTAATGCTGCATATTGCATATTGCATATTGCATATTATCTATTGTTGTCGAATGTTTTACTTTGTTATGCAACTCTGCTATAGGAACGAATTACAATTAGAAAATAACATGTAACATTATCAGCATTGCCAACACAAATCAATCGAGAAAATAATACACTGTATATACATCTACAATCTCAACGCCATCTTCCAGACAACTGTTTCAAATAAATATATAAACAAATTGAACTGGCTTTATGTTTTGTCTACAGTATCATGTCGTAAATCATGGACTTGTCAACTGCTAAATGCTACCTTACAGACAGGTACACAGTCTACTGTGCAGATAAAAGACCTTTATGTCTCAAATCGGTAAAACTCTTGACTAGTCTTTCACATGCGCCCTATCCTTGGACTCGAGCATTCGTATGTCTGTCTATCAATACCCTGGAAGAGAATCTCACACGGTTAAGTAGCGAACATCGTGGACCATGTTAGATCGACTAAATGTTGTAAATCAAATGTTGTAAGCCTAAATAATATATAAATGCTTTGGCCAAAATTTAGTTCTTCACATTTCCCTTGCCTTTTAATTACTACATTTGATTAATATTTATACGTGTATCACTAAATTATGTTTATTAATGCGAAGTATACGTAGCACTACCAATACATTCAATTGCTGGAACGTGATTCATAAACCCATGTATATAACAAATTGTGGTACAACAATGGGCTCTACTTTTAGTAGAGATGTCTTAAGATTAAGGAAATGGTTTTGTCGCTTTTTATTTAGAGGAAAAGGTCAACGCTAACTAGATGCAATGTTCTAAGTTAAGTACACATGTATAAGGATAAAACCTAATGTGATGGTCCAAATCATGCAGTATCTTGTAAAAATGCATCTCTTCGCTGTGTAATATCATATTGAAGAGCATTTTATGAATGTTCCATGTGATCGATATTGTCAATATCTTTCTTAAAGGGGGAGTAGGCTCTCAGAAAGTGGCAGTCCTAGCAAGATTGATTCGCGTCCTCCATACACAATTGTCCTACCTCACATTGTATAATGTACATCAACCAAGCAGTTAATGACAAAGATTTCTTAGCTTCAACCAAAAGCTAAAACGTCTCGACCTTGGCTGGGAATGAACACGAGACAGTGTAGCTCCCCTTTAACACACTACAACGCTATAATAGTAACAAACACTGAATAATAACCATTTCATAACTGTTTCGTGCTTGGAACCCTAGCAGCTAACGTACACTCAGGAAGTTAAATTTTAAATTCGTAAAAAGTTAACGTCTTGTAGATCCTCCAGGAGGTATTTGAGCCGGTACTGTATTTGCTTTGAATGCATGATGTTCATCCTTCTAAAAGCCACAACTATATTAATTTAAGGGAATTACATGTAGTAAATGTGTTGCGATGAAATGTCACTTATTTGATTTAAATTATGGCAAACATAAATATGCAATATGCTTTCATTGAATTTTTTTTATTGTTACAGCTCGAGGCTTAACATATACTGCACCCATATAACTGTTGTTTATTGATCTGAAACTGATACAAAATATCAAAATACCATAGTTATTACCCCTAAATATGAGTGTAGAAAAGCCACTAGAAACAAACCTGCTTACGTAGTGTTGGCCCCTACACACCGCTTTCAACCTTTCCATATATGATGTGTTTAGGATCGGGTTTCAAACTACATATTGGCTATGTACAAGCATGCATTAACATAGTACACAATGATAACTTATCTCATCGTCTTGCTATGTGCCCCTTCCCGTCCCATATCTGTAAGGGGTGCTGTCAGAACCTCATAGCCATCGAGAAAATACATACATACCGGGAACGTGCCCCGTTTGTGATGAACGTACGTCGTTTTGAAAACACCCCTACAGGATCACAACACAGCCTCAGCCCACCCGTTCAATACACCATGCCCTCCTACACAGGCACCTTCAGCAGCTTGCTGTGGCCAACATACCCATTGGGCATTACGGTTAAAGAGAAGTCAAGTATCTTCCAACCGCTAGGAAAACGTATCACATTTCTTGCTTGCACATACAAGACCACGATGTCAATGATCCTTCTTGCAGATCTAAACATGTTCAAGGTCAAGGGTTAGAAACTTGTTTGTAAACCCCTTTTGGAGAACGTATTCAAGGATAAGGGTCACCAATGCGATTTACAACCCTTCCCGCACAGTTAAATATGTTCCAGGAATCATTCATGGAACACTGTTGTTATTATTATGGTCATGATGAAACTTATATCCCCATTTGAAGCAATGCCCCTTTGCTGAAAGACATTTAGTACTGAGACGCTTCCTTCACCTTTGCCACACAACATCACAGAAATATTTTGACACAGCACTATAGGCACTGAACACTTGCCTAGGAAGGCCTTAGCCTGTAGCATCGTCACGCCTGCTGGTGAAAGGCGAATGCTGTGCTCTCACCACCCATTTGGACATTGAAACAACTCTGAAACATATCCATATGTTTCAATCATTGCAATCCTGTCCTAATCGTGAACTCCCCACCGAGAACTTCGTTCAAGGTCCAACAGCCAACATAAGACGACGTCAAATCCTCTCTAAGAACGCCTCACCCTCAGCATCCGAGAACCTGTTTCCTTACATGCAGTTTCAGAGAAGCTTTAGAGGAACAGTTGGTATCGTAATCCACATGTACAGCACAAATTAACATTGCTTCCTTGGCTAACACAAGATATGTTATCCTCAGGTGCGACATGCTCCTGGTTTAGCACTGTGTTTTGGTCCTGACTTGCTGGTTGAGGTAGACCAGCGAGGCACTGTTTCCTCTACTAATGTACACATCAAACAAGTAGTTTGTACCGGGTTTCAGACCCGTCACTGTCTTACTAATTACAGCCTTTGAAGGCTGCCTGTGTCTAAACCTTGTACAAAATACCTTTTCTCTGTCACTGCGATGCCCAGGATCTGAGCATCGGTGCTTCCGCACTTTTTGATTGTCAACTAATTCCTTTTTATAAAGACAATATTTTTGTTTAACATTACTGCCCATCCAGGCTAGAGTCACATTTGTGCATGTGGTAAGAGTGTTGAAGACCTTGATTCTGTAGTCTACAGGCAGACGCGGCGGGCGATACCTGCCAGACTCAGTGAAGAACACCATCACTGAACGCTTGCGTTTTCTTTTCCCTTTAAACCTTAAAATATAAGCGCCTGCCGGCAAGTTTTTCATTCTCACAATTTTGATCCTCCTAACCGCTGATTTATGGATAAGTTTATTGTCATAAAGAATCTCAAAGGGGAGAACCCCTCGACATGATTTCAGTTCCAACACACCCTTCTCGACCTGTTTGGTCAACACTAATTTAACACTCACAGAACGCACACCCTTTTGTAAAGACACGGTCTTCCTCTTCTCATTTTTCAGCAGCGCTTGTCGCCTCTTCCTCTTCTTCGTCTGCACAACCGCGCCCACGTACGTGGACGACCTATTTGTATTTTTATCCACCACATGGATGTCTATGAAATACGTAGTTTCTGGTTTTGCTTTGTCAAAAGTAAAATTTGTTTTTGACCCAACACAGGCGTAAAACAACCTTTTGGGCGACATTGCTTTGATCGGCTTGGCTTTCCTTTGTCTTTCTCTGTTTTTACTCTTCTCCCAGGGAAAACCAAAACCACTGTTGGGGGGAGGGGTGGGGCGTGTGTCCCCTTGTAAGTGGGCCAAGACGGAGCAATGACTTTGAAAGTTCATTACCTTGTTCACAGACACACAGTATTCTAGTGAGGGTTGTAGCAATTCCGATGGGTTGCCACTGGGATTCCATGAAAATTTGATGGATCTTCGTGATGTTGCGGTCACCCGGATCCTTGCATCCACAGGCAACTCGGGGAACAATGACACAGATTCTGGTCTGGTGGTAGCAAATAACTTCACTGTGGTATCCGTTTTGATTGCTTGTAGACTAAGAATGTAGATTCCTTTCCGCGCATCGCGTGTTGTGTAGACCATGTTACCCCCGCCTTTGAACTCCTCCACCCGGACTGACGACTGGCCTTCCATTTGGGAGGAAAAAGGGTCTGAAAATAGAAGTATATACTAGTATGTTACACATGTTATAGGGTAGCGAGTAGGTGGGTAACTTAGCATAGGTAGAATGTAATTTGACGGTCCCTATACGTATGTACTGTAGGGTAATATATATGTTCCCATCTCATACATTATTTGTCTTATGGGACCCGTGAAAATCCGGGTTAGAATAGGTCTTCAGCAACCCATGTTTGCCGTAAAGGGCGAATACACTTGTCGTAAGAGGCGACTAACGGAATCGGGTGGTCAGGCTCTCTGACTTGGTTGATGCATGTCATCGTATTCCAATTGTGTGGATCGATGCGTGTGATGTCAATCACTGGATTGTCTGTTCCAGACCGCCGTCATATAGCTGGCATATTGCTGAGTGCGGCGTTTAACAACAAACAAACAAACAAATTTGTCTTATGACATGTATGTGTAAGAGATGTGACGAGGGTATGAGATTTGTATCCCTTTTATCATAATAATGGATACGGAGGATTTGGAAACACTTGGAATCAAACCCGATTCTTGGGCGTGTTGAGCGAGTGCACTAAGGTATACGCTAGAAGGTCAATGCAATAGATAACTGTTATAAGACTGAACCCACAAGAACGGATGCTGAAATAAACAATGCTACGCTGCATGTGAAACTGACTATTGTCATCGAGAGTTCAAATGACGGTAAACATTTAATATCAATTATAACAGTTAACTAAACAAATAGATTCCACCATTGGAACGGAATGCCGACAGAACACAGCCTGCAATGACCCTATAACAGATCCTAATGTTAATCAAATAGTGCTTAACGACTCAGATTTCTATTCAAAATTAATATTAATAATAGCGTTCGATGAAGCGTTACAACCTAATTCATACATACAACATCGATGTACATTCAAACTGGCATGAACCGACACACTTGCTGTTCATACTCTCCAAAAGAACATACAATATACACTAAAGTCTGATATTGCTTATACATTCTCTAACTACATAAAACGTCTTGGACTGAAGTCACGGTCACTGTGGTGTACTCGGTTTCCATCAATCCTTGTCAATTCGTTCCATTTACTCCCCTATCGCCAGCTAGACGTTAGCTAAACAAGTCTTCAATGGCAAGCAAACACGTCCGAGTTGACACAATCATTTGAACGGCAACAAACGCCTGAGTCCTAACAGCTTTCACAGATCTCACAAATTCTAGGAAACAAAATATATGGGGTAACGGCAAACACGGGCAAGAAGTGGGGAGCGAAAGGAGGGCATGACTAGGGTCCGACTGCCCCGCTAATTTGAATGCCAAATACAACACTGTGCAAGCATGCCTCCATGTGTTGAAACAACAAACATCCAGATGCACTGACCAAAGTGCATTTCTCTGGCAAAGTTGAAACTTTCAGATTTGTACATTCAGGAGTGAACGGTTTGTTACCGAATCATGAATGTCAATAAGAGAATTACACGAAGACTACAAAGGTATCGGTGCATTTAAGTTTTAAAGACAAAGCATTCTGATCCTATTTCAACCATTAACATTAAAGCAGTAAAAGGTAAAGAAATAATGTATTAAACAAGTGGAATTACACAGAGGCTACACAGTAACGGTGCATTAAAGACAAAACTTTCTGATTTTATCTCAAACATAAAGATATAAAATGTAAAAATAAAGGTAAATGAAATTAACATAAAACGTTTATCAACATTCGAAAAAGTAGGGATGTTTGTACCTATATCGATTATAAATGATGGTTATTATGGATGGGAAAATATCATCTGTTTTTTTCACAGCTATCAAATGTAACATTCATACCGTTAATATATATATATATATATATATATATATATATATATATATATATATGTGTGTGTGTGTGTGTGTGTGTGTGTGTGTGTGTGTGTGTGTGTGTGTGCGCGCGCGCGTAAAATAGATGTTAAATAACGGTAGCTTAAATCTGATTTTACTCATTGGTAAAATGTCATCACATTTTATCATTTTAAACAAAGACGTTAAAGTTTTATCCTAAATTATCAACATATAACTTTGTGAGGCTGTTCATGTACACAACCAATAAATAAATGAGTGGGTATAGCTTTATATCTATATTCCAGCAATATCGCGGCGAGGGACTCCAGAAATTGACTTCACACATTGTACCCATGTGGGGAATCGAACGCGAGTCTTCAGCGTGATGAGCGAACGCTTCAACCACTAGGCTACTATACAGCCCCACCAGTACATGCTATTTACTGGAGGGTTTCAAGTTGTCACCAGTTTGTTTTCATGTTATTCGTGTTTAAAAACAAATCTAAAATTACGCTTTGAATCGGCGATAATTTATAATTTCAATTACAAAAGACACTATATTTAATTCGTTTTCAAACTGATAAATTGGTTTGTATATTTTTTCTCAGCTAAAACGATTAAGTTGTATTTACATTCACAGACGTAACGACACTGTATTTACAAACAGTTTCCAATCTGCCATATACTGCAAAGTGCGATGTAAGCCTTCAACAAATTAATTACTTGCTTTTTGGAATATGGGGGTGGGGGTGGGTTAGCGTCGTGGTTAAAGTGTTTACGAGTCACGCCGAAGCCCTGAATTCGATTCTTCATATCGGTACAATGTGTGCCGCAATTTGCTGTGCAGAGTTGCGTCCCTTAGGCATGCCAGAAATCTATGATCGTGGGTTTGAATCCCGGTGGGTTTGAATCCCGGTGGCCCCGATTATGTTACTAGGTTTCTCAGCACCATACCCGTGCTCGTAGGTTTCACCAAATTGAATTTCTGAGACCTGCATCACATTGGGCTTACCTCCCACATCAAACTGACACGCCGTGATATAACTGGAATAATGCTAAAAGCGAAGAACACCTATACAACTCGAAAGAAGTCAAAGAACACCCGAATTTTTCATATGACTATAGTTAATCTGTCATAGCATCGGACATCATTTTCGTCACTGAAGCGTCAAATTAGAAAATCCTCCAGATGTGTGCCAGAAAACGCTTTGAAATCTTTACTAAATACCTTGAATGACGTAACCCTGATCAAACCACTTTTGAGCAAGAGTCATATGACGATCTTTAAAATCTTAATAGAAATTATAGCAAGCTCGACTGTAGCTCTAAAGTTGTGAAAATGCCGAAGCTACTAATATTGCTCAACATGAAGGCAAAGTTGACTTTTGGAAGGTTGAAGTCATCCCACCTGTAATACAGCCTTGTGGACTGTTTTTTGTCACTCCCAATGTTCATGAATAGATCTAAAGAGGAAACAGATGAGGCGGTTTCACTTGTATCTTTTTCTAGTTCCGGTGGATAAATCGGTGGAAGGGGATTACAACAGTTTGCAAAACGTTACCAGGCTGAAAACAGTCCCCGAAACACAGCAAACTTAAGGTTCAAAACACAACTATGATACACCGTATCAAATACATCGCCATCGAATAACTGTTTCTTGTTTGTTATATTTTAGCCATCATCAAAGAAGGATGAATACTGTTTGATGCCCGGCAGTTCAGTATTACACGGGTTGAAAAAACCCCGGAAAATGAATAATCTGTCTCTCATATAGAATAAAATCCTATCCTTCGAACACTATATTACATACTCAGCTAATCACAGTGCTTCTTCACTGGTGGAGCTATCACTCTTTATCCTACCTTACATATGAATACCGGATTCTGATTGGCTGAGACCTATTCTATTATTTTCAATGACCCCAACTTACCCAGTGACATGTATTATGGTCTACGCTCGAACTGCCTAGCTGTTGGCATTACATGTGGAACATACCAACCGAAATTTTGTATCTTGAATAAATTATCAAGACGCCATTCTCCGGATATTTACGATATTTTCCGAATGAAATAGCTCGAGGGGGAATAACTCTTAGTTTGTTTTGTGCCGTCTGCTATTTTGCCGAACCGGCATTCTTACCGATACGGACCAATTCATGCATTCATGCATTCATGCATGTATGCATGCATAAGGCATACCTGCAATATAATAAGGCGTGCGGTAAGATACATTAGTTGCCCACCGGTCCCTCGGGGGACATGGGTTGATGTAATATCTATGTTAGTTCATGTACCCCTGGAGACCGCAGGACAACTCGTTACTCTAAGTACCTTCTGGGTCGTCTTCCTCGCTGCTGCTTGCCATGGCTTTGTTTGTGAGTACGAATGTGATGTTCGATGCACAGGGGGTGACCACGATCGACAGCGGTGTTCCACCCTCCTCTAGGAGAAAATAGTAACTGCAAACAACAACAGTAGTTATCATTAATCAGCTCGAGAGTAAATATATTTTTACCCCGCACTTAGCACTGTTCCAACCATTACAGGCCCGGGGATTCCATAAATGATGCTTTACACATTGTACACACGTTCGAATTGGAACCCGGGTCTTTGGCGTGACCAGCCAACGTGTCAACCATGGCTACCCCCTGCTCTAATCCCCTTCGTGAGTGAGTGAGTAAGTTGGGTTTAACGCCGCTTTTAAATGTAAATACACCACGACGTGTTAGCTTAATGTGGGAGAAAAGCCCGAAGTGATGCAGGTCTCAGAAGTTTGCCACTTCGGTGAAAACCACGAGCACTGGTATGGTGCTGACAAACTTAGACACTAGTATGGTGCTGACAAACCTAGAAACATAATCGGGGCGAACCGGGATTCTAACCCACGATCATAGGTTTCTGGCGTGCCCAAGGGGGACGCAACCCCGCACAGCGAATCGCGGCGCCTTGGACGACTGGGCCACCCGTGCCCCCCTAATCACCTCAGAATTTGATGAACTGACATTAATGGTTACCATCAAATAAATGGTCTCTGTTTCCATAAACCGAAAAAATACACAACGCCAAATACCAGACAACTCATTCCTGATTGGTTGGTAATAGAATGGGCTAGGATTGTGTTGCATTATTGAACTATAATAGTTTACTTCAAAATTTAGTTGCATTTATTGTGTTATCCGGTGTGTTATCCATAATAACCGGTGTGCACACATAGCTTTTTACGTTTATAAATATTGAAGTCAGTCCTTAAATATCTCTGCAATGAATCTTCAACTGCAAATAAGATCTATTCATAAAACAGAGACACTGCACTTCAGAGGGAAATCCTTTCGCTCTAGTTATTTTTTTGTAAATATTAAATACGCTTTTGTAATAAAACCTTGAATGTTTTGACAGTACTTGCATTACTCAGACAGTTGTCGTGCATATTGAGGACGATAAAGACAGACCTAGTGGTATCACACATGGAAACACGTCAGACAGACACAGTACTATCACACATGGAAACACGTCAGACAGACACAGTACTATCACACATGGAAACACGTCAGACAGACACGGTACTATCACACACGGAAACACGTCAGACAGACACAGTACTATCACACATGGCAACACGTCAGACAGACACGGTACTATCACGTCAGAGAGACCTGATAGTATCACACTTGTAACACGTCAGACAGATATGGTACTATCAAACAACATGTAACACGTCAGACAGACACAGTACTATCACATATGGCAACACGTCAGACAGACACGGTACTATCACGTCAGACAGACCTGATAGTATCACACTTGAATGGTACTATCAAACAACATGTAACACGTCAGAAAGACATGGTACTTTCAAACATGGAAACACGTCAGACAGATACGGTACTATCACACATGTAACACGTCGGACAGACACTGTACAATCACACATGTTACACGTCAGACAGACACGGTACTATCACACATGTAACACGTCAGGCAGACATGGTACTATCACACATAATACACGTCAGACAGACACGGTACTATCACACATGTAACACGTTAGGCAGCCATGGTACTATCACACATGTTACACGTCAGACAGACATGGTACTATCACACATGTAACACGTCAGGCAGACATGGTACTATAACACATGTAACACGTCAGGCAGACACGGTACTATCACACATGTAACACGTCAGACAGACATGTACTATCACACATGTAACACGTCAGACAGACACGGTACTATCACATATGTAACACGTCAGACAGACATGGTACTATCACACATGTTACACGTCAGACAGACATGGAAGTATCACACATGTAACACGTCAGACAGACACGGTACTATAACACATGTAACACGTCAGGCAGACATATTACTATCACACTTGTAACACGTCAGGCAGACACGGTACTATAACACATGTAACACGTAAGGCAGACACGGTACTATCACACATGTAACACGTCAGGCAGACACGGTACTATCACACATGTAACACGTCAGGCAGACATGGTACTATCACACATGTAACACGTAAGGCAGACACGGTACTATCACACATGTAACACGTAAGGCAGACACGGTACTATCACACATGTAACACGTCAGGCAGACACGGTACTGTAACACATGTAACACGTCAGGCAGACACGGTACTATCACACATGTAACACGTCAGGCAGACACAGTACTATCACACATGTAACACGTAAGGCAGACACGGTACTATCACACATGTAACACGTCAGGCAGACACGGTACTATCACACATGTAACACGTCAGGCAGACACGGTACTATCACACATGTAACACGTCAGGCAGACACAGTACTACCAAACATGTAACACGCCAGGCAGACATGGTACTATCACACATGTAACACGTCAGACAGACACGGTACTATCACACATGTAACACGTCAGACAGACACGGTACTATCGCACATGTAACACGTCAGACAGACACGGTACTATCACACATGTAACACGTCAGGCAGACACGGTACTATCACACATGTTACACGTCAGACAGACATGGTACTATCACAAATGTTACACGTCAGACAGACATGGTACTATCACACATGTAACACGTCAGAGATATATGGTACTATCACATATGTAACACGTCAGACAGACATGGTACTATCACACATGTAACACGTCAGACAGACATGGTACTATCACACATGTAACACGTCAGACAGACATGGTACTATCACACATGTAACACGTCAGACAGACATGGTACTATCACACATGTAACACGTCAGACAGACACGGTACTATCACACATGTAACACGTCAGACAGACACGGTACTATAACACATGTAACACGTCAGACAGACATGGTACTATCACACATGTAACACGTCAGACAGACATGGTACTATCACACATGTTACACGTCAGACAGACATGGTACTATCACACATGTAACACGTCAGACAGACACGGTACTATCACACATGTAACACGTCAGACAGACACGGTTCTATCACACATGTAACACGTCAGGCAGACATGGTACTATCACACATGTAACACGTCAGACAGACATGGTACTATCACACATGTAACACGTCAGGCAGACACGGTTCTATCACACATGTAACACGTCAGGCAGACATGGTACTATCACACATGTAACACGTCAGACAGACATGGTACTATCACACATGTAACACGTCAGACAGACATGGTACTATCACACATGTAACACGTCAGACAGACACGGTACTATCACACATGTAACACGTCAGACAGACACAGTACTATCACACATGTAACACGTCAGACAGACACGGTACTATCACACATGTAACACGTCAGACAGACACGGTTCTATCACACATGTAACACGTCAGGCAGACATGGTACTATCACACATGTAACACGTCAGACAGACATGGTACTATCACACATGTAACACGTCAGACAGACATGGTACTATCACACATGTAACACGTCAGACAGACACGGTACTATGATGATTACGGTTACGGTTGTTTCACACATTTATATATAAAACGTACATAAATCAGTCTCGAATATCTAACGAAACAGATTCCATTGGATATAAAAGGCAAACGAATGGTGAAATTTATAAGAATGGATCACTGAAAATCGATGATGACACTAGGTGTTGTCGGAAAGGATAAGCCTGTACTGCTCCACCGGTAAACCAAGTCGTAAAGTTCTGGTAGAACCACACAAGCTAACCCTGCCTGTAGCAGGTGTCTGATCTCACCAAGCGATGAAGCCCACGACACTATGAGTAGACGTAACGAGTAGAAACTATAGCTTTATCCCTTCAACAGCCTCGTGGTCTAGCGCTACCAAGCAGTCAGGCACCTTATATATGTCTATATATATGAGGATATGAACATTTCAAAAAACAATATCTCAAAGTGAATATATTCGCAAAGGTTCTAGAAGTAATTTGTTTTGTATGCTGATCATATTTTATTTTATAAATATATTATTTTAATGAAACCATGATAAGCTAAACGGTGTCCCATTGTACAATAATTGTGTTTAAGATGTACTGTGGGTCATAAAAATGGTAACACTACAATGTATTTCGTTCCTGATTATTTCTAATGAATTGCGATATCAACGTGTCATAATCGTTTCAATACAAAATATTTAGTTAGTAATAATAAAAAAAGATAAATCTCAACATTGATACCAAATTTCATATGCTGTCAAAATTTACACATCACTCATTTTCAAAATTCGATCTCTTCATGACGTTACAACTGACAACAAGTATTACACATATATGCAAAATATATATATGCATTTGCATATGGTACAACCAAATTCATTAAAATTATGTAATGAAAATACGTGTAAAATCATTCCTACCTTTCCGTCTCCCCTTTGAGAAGATACACGGTCTCTTCGCGACCATCCGTCATCGTCCGGGTATCGTAAAATATTTCTGGTCGATCGCTGGCAAAGTCGTACTGTCGTCTTCGATTGGACGCTGATATGTGTTGTCCGAGTGAGAGGGGGAGCATAAAGATGGACACGAGAAGATTCCCCACAGCAAACCACCACAACAACCGTCGGAGAGGCAGAGGCATCATAGTGTGCCTGTGAACACACAACACGCCAACTATATTCACACAACAGGGAACGATACACTGGCTAACGCCAGCATCCTAACACTCCTCGCTGGTCGACAGACTTAGATGAACCCAGTGCCGCACACGCTGTCCACTGTGAACTGTGTCTAAATGGACAAATTGCTGAGAGGAGTTACGTAACTTTGTTACATCACATCTAGCAAGTTGCTTGTTGTAGACTCACGTGACTCTTGAGAACATGAGCATATGATCCAAATTGTCTGTTTTTCAGTTGTTTACTTTACGAAACTGACACGCAATTATCAGCCTTGGGTAAGTGAGTGAGTTTAACGCCGTTTTGAACATTATTTCAGTTATATCACAATGTTTCTGCTGCATATGGGAGAATAACCCAAAAATGTTTACAAATTAGGTGCAACCAATGAGCACGGGTATAGTGCTGTCAAATAAATAAACATATAAAACGTCCACGCCAGAGGATAACGAGTCTCGATTATCCGACGAAACAGATTCCATTGGGCGTATAAGGCAAAAGACCTGTGAACAGTTTATGAGTGGATCACTGAAAATATCATTGAAAACTAAAGGTAGAATAGCCTCGTTCACACATCGAAATATATACATATATATGACAATTATATCCTACAATAAGATGCTAAAACATGATTTAGTCACAGTACAAATGTTTAAATAGTTACACCATTTCTATAGATAAAGTTTGTTGTGCGATTGGCTTTCAACCCATGTGGTAATTGACATACAAAAAAACCGCCTGAGATCTGATAAGTAACCTTCAGGTAATAATGCTTGAAGCAACAAATTACAGATTATTTCAACTAGAAACATAACTATATGTAAAGGGCTTTCAGTTTTCTTCGAACGAAGAGGTAACGACATGGAGTGGCACTTTAAACACAGCAGCCACACTGATAGCCGTAGGAGCTCCACTTCATGGCAATTGACGATGTACCATTGAATTCTGAGTCTGCAGTCTCCATCCCGTCACAGACACTGGCGGAAGTAACGAGGTAACTGATGATAGCTTAGACAGCTAGCATACACCTGAGAAAGGGAATGGTGTGGGTCAATCAGGCCATGAAGATCGCACAGACCATGCATACCTGCACTCAAGCACATGTTGAACACAGACCACACACACATGAATGGAAGTTGATGTTGAACACAGACCATGCAAACATGCTTTCAAGCACAAGTTGAACACAGACTACCAAACGCAAAGTGAACGCATCCAGACCATCAAGCACAAAGAGAACGCATACATACATTCAAACATATGTTGAACACAGACATTCAAACAGATAGTATACACATACAGACATTGTAGCACTGAACCCATACATACAATGACGCACACACTGAACACATACAGACACAGTAGCACATACTGAACACATACAGACACAGTAGCACATACTGAAAATACAGACACAGTTGCACATACTGAACACATACAGACACGGTAGCACACACTGAACACATACAGACACAGTAGCACATACTGAACACATATAGACACAGTAGCACACACTGAACACATACAGACACGGTAGCACACACTGAACACATACAGACACAGTAGCACACACTGAACACATACGGACACAGTAGCACAAACTGAACACATACAGACACGGTAGCACATACTGAGCACATACATTGTAGCATATACTGAACACTTGCATTCATTGTAGCACATACTGAACACATACAGACACAGTAGCACATACTGAACACATACGGACACAGTAGCACATACTGAGCACATACATTGTAGCACATACTGAACACATACAGACATTGCAACACATACTGAACACACACAGGCATTGTAACACATACTGAACACACACAGGCATTGCAACACATACTGAACACACACAGGCATTGTAACACATACTGAACACATACAGACATTGCAACACATACTGAACACACACAGGCATTGTAACACATACTGAACACATACAGGCATTGTAACACATACTGAACACACACAGGCATTGTAACACATACTGAACACTTACATACATAATAGCTCATACTGACCATTTGCATACATTGTAGCACATACTGAACACATACAGACATTGCAACACATACTGAACACACACAGGCATTGTAAAACATACTGAACACACACAGGCATTGTAACACATACTGAACACACACAGGCATTGCAACACATACTGAACACACACAGGCATTGTAACACATACTGAACACATACAGGCATTGTAACACATACTGAACACATACAGACATTGCAACACATACTGAACACATACAGACATTGCAACACATACTGAACACACACAGGCATTGTAACACATACTGAACACATACAGACATTGCAACACATACTGAACACATACAGACATTGCAACACATACTGAACACATACAGACATTGCAACACATACTGAACACACACAGGCATTGTAACACATACTGAACACTTACATACATAATAGCTCATACTGACCATTTGCATACATTGAATCACATACTACAGTCGATCACACCATGATGGCACTTGTTGATACAGCTGAAGATCATGTACATCTGGCAGCATGGAATGGAAATAGGGTTGTACGACTCTTTCAGCAATATTTCAGCAATGTCATGGCTGTACCTTGATCGAAAAGATCTACATCTCCAAAGCAGTCTTACCTTCAAGACTGATAAATTGCTTATAATATCAATCACTGGTTTGCCATTCAGTCGTGCAATACTGGAATACAATGCTGACTGCAGCGTAAACCCACAGAGAATGACACAGAAGCGAGTGTCAGTCTGCTTTTACGCCGCTTTCAGGAATTTTCCATCAAACAAAGCAAACAAAACTAAAAATAAACAGTCGGATATTGTGAATTCTATGTTCCCTTGAAAACCAAAAAGGTACATTGGAAATTTTCTTTTTCACATGACAGTAACGTTAACTGTACGATGCGGCACCGCTGATGGATGGCGATACGTGCATCCTTTTATATCTGGATGATGCCAGCACAACTCGAGTAGCCACAGACTGAAGATGTTTACAACCTGCAACAATGTTGGGTATCGTACAGGCCACTCTCGGCCATAATCCGTCTTCCGCGGTGTGTAAATAATGCGTTAATTGAACATATCAAGGAGCTGACAGAAACAATTTTGCAGAGAGACTTCGTGCCAAGGGATAGATCACATTTGTATACAGAATGGTGCGTTCCATCACCGAGCATGTATCACATCTGTATACAAAATGGTGCGTTCCATCACCGAGCATGTATCACATCTGTATACAAAATGGTGCGTTCCATCACCGAGCATGTATCAAATCTGTATACAAAATGGTGAGTTGCATCACCGAGCATGTATCAAATCTGTATACAAAAGGGCGCGTTCCATCACCGATCATCAGGGTATGAAACTCCCAAAAATTTCAGCCAGACCACAGGACTGGCTAGCTGAAATACTTGCCAGCCCTGACCAAAACCTGCCTGCCCACTTTAATCATATGTTTCTCAGGATAAGCTAACGGGGTTTCTCTTTGGTTACATTTTATCATTCATCTTTACATGTGAATTAATGATTATCATCGGGAAATATTTAGAATATTGTCACATATGAAAAATAACCCGACTGTCGGGCAGGGGGATTTGAAAATCTGGCAGCCCGAGTTGAAATCAACCCGTCTCGGACGGTCGGGCAGGCAGGTATTTCGAACACTGCGATCATGTATCAAATCTGTATACAAAATGGTGCGTTCCATCACCGATCATATATCACATCTGTATACAAAATGGCGCGTTCAATCACCGATAATGTATCACATCTGTATACAAAATGGTGCGTTCCATCACCGAGCCTATATCACATCTGTATACAAAATGGTGCGTTCCATCACCGAGCATGTATCACATCTGTATACAAAATGGTGCGTTCCATCACCGAGCATGTATCACATCTGTATACAAAATGGTGCGTTCCATCACCGAGCATGTATCACATCTCTATACAAAATGGTGCGTTCAATCACCGAGCATATATCACATCTGTATACAAAACGGTGCGTTCAATCACCGATCATGTATCACATCTGTATACAAAATGGTGCCTTCCATCACCGAGCATGTATCAAATCTGTATACAAAATGGTGCGTTCTATCACCAATCATGTAACACATCTGTATACAAAATGGTGCGTTCCATCACCGAGCATGTATCACATCTGTATACAAAATGGTGCGTTCCATCACATATCATGTATCACATCTGTATACAAAATTGTGCGTTCCATCACCGAGCATATTTCACATCTGTATACAGAATGGTGCGTTCCATCACCGAGCATAAATCACATCTGTATATGAAACGGTGCGGTCGATCCACAAGCATGCAGCGCACCTGTATAGAAAATAGTGCGGTTCAGCATCGAGCATACAGCACATCCGCGTAGAGCATAGTGCGGTTCATCATCGAGCATACAGCACATGCGTGTGGAGAATAGTGCGGTTCATCATCGAGCATACAGCACAACCGCGTAGAGAATAGTGCGGTTCATCATCGAGCATACAGCACATCCGTTTAGAGAATAGTGCGGTTCATCATCGAGCATACAGCACATCCGTGTAGAGAAAAGTGCGGTTCATCATCGAGCATACAGCAGTGAATGAGTTCGGATTGTACACTTTTAGTTATTCATTCCCATCAGCTCAATGTGGGAGGAAAGCCCAGCGTTCTGCAGTTTGGAGACGATCACACTGTTATCAGACCTACGAGCACGGGTGTGGTGCTGACAAACCAGGAATCATTACATGGGAGAACCTTGTTATCAAAGGCATGATCATCTGAGTTCTGGTACGATTAAGGGGCGCAAACATACACACAGAAACACGGTAGTGGTAGAGGTAGAGCGGTAGGCATATTCTAATATGACAAAAACATACTAGAAGAGTATTCACTTTTTCGTATGTGGAATAAACATAATAGGCTACTGGAAAAGGTA